AGGTGGAGACAGGTGGAGACAGGGGAAGACAGGTGGAGACAGGTGAAGACAGGTGGAGACAGGTGGAGACAGGTGGAGACAGGTGAGGACAGGTGGAGACAGGTGGAACCACCAGGGATCCAGGGCTGAAACCCCAGGATAGTGTGAGGCATGTTGCTCACCTGGTGTAGTGGATCCAGGTGAGGCTGTAGGTTAAAAGGAAGCCAGCCGCTCAGCGGGCCCCCTGAGAAGGGTGAGGATTAGAGGCCAGGAGCCCTGCTGCTCCCTGGAGATTTGGGGCAGGAGGAGGAGGTATCTGGGGAAGGAAGATGGGAGGGGCACAGAGGCCCGAGGCTCCTAGGTCCCCACCTCAGGCCCTGCCCGTGCCCCATCTCTGAATGCAGGTCTCCTGCTTATGCTGACCCTGCACAGCCAGGCTCAGGGAGATGTGGGGGAGCCTGAGGCATGCTGAGCCCAGCAGGTGGACTCATCACCTATGACCACCTGGGGCAGTTCAGGACCTGAGGATCCAAGGGCTGAGAGGGGCTCAGGGTGAGGCTTCCCTGGGTCCAGCTCAGTGTGGCCGGGGGGTCGCTGTCAGCATCACAGACCAGGTGCAGGGACTGGCCCTCCTGGCTCTCAGTGTGGTGGCATTGCCCAGGACCCCTGGGACTAGGAGACAGAGAGAGAAAGGGCAGGGCTGAGTCCCTTGGCTCCCCTGGAGGCAGGAATGGAAGGCAGCCCCTCTGCGCCAGCACTGAGGGGGCAAGCAGGGAGAAGACCCCGGGTGAGAGGGGTGAGGAGGCCATGTGCAGACCTGGGCCGGGGGAGGGGCCCCAGCAAGACAGCAGGGGAAGCTGGGCAGGAGGGTGCATGGGCTGCTCAGGAGGATCACGTGTTGAAGGCCAGCCTGGGCAACTCAGCAAGACCCCATCTCTAAATAAAAGATAAAAAGGGCTGGGGATGTGCCTCCGTGGTTAAGTGCCCTGGGCTCAATCCCCAGGACTGAAAAAAAAAAAAAAAAAAAGACAGGCGTGGTGGGCAGGAGAGGACGTTGAAGTGCAAATCCGCGGAGAGCAGCTAACCCATGCAGATCTGGCCGGGGCGATACCAAGATAGGTGGTGTCATTGACCCTTTTCCTGAGGGCCACTGGGAGCCATGGAGGGATCCAAGGGAAGAAACAGTGTCCTATGTGGGTTAGAGAGAGATCCCTGTGGAGTCCAAATTGTGGCCACTTGGAGAGGGGCAAACAAGCGGCTAGCAAGCCAGAGAAAAGGCTGGCACAAGTCCAGACGAGAGGCCCAAGCCTAGGTGGGGCGGCAACCACGCGGATGGAGGAAGGAACAACTTGAGACATTTCTTAGAAGTAGGTTTGCAGAACTGCCTGACTGATGGTGACTATTTGGTAAGACAGATGTCGCAAAGAGATTCCTAGGGTATCCACTCAGGGGCTCCCCAGGGAGATCAGGGAGTGCACACGCCAAGCTGCCCTGGACAGAGATTTATGAGGGCTTGGGGGCAGGGTCATGCAGAGAGCAGACAGAGACCCAGGCCCAACTGTGGAGCTCATGTATTAGGCTTCTTCTGGAAGACTGAGATGGCAAGGTCAAGAAGTGGCAGGAAAGAGGGGAAGAGAGAGCCACAGGAAGGGGGAGGAGGGAGAAGTCGGCACAGAGCCAGCCCTGGAGGTGGGAGGGACTGTCAGCGAGGAGGTCACAGGGTTCACCGCCTCGCAACCTCCAAGGGAGAAGGCCCCGCCTAGCTGTGCCGCTCCAGGAAGAGTCCCCCGCCGTATCCCAGGCCCTGGCTCCCCTTACCCAGTCAGCCCTGCCCACAGGGACCTGGGCATCCTGGCCTGGCACTCACAGAACACATTGAACCTGACAGTTCTCTTCAGCACCCCCCAGCTCCAGGGAAGGACACATAACAGGTGAGGTGGGGGCCGTGGTCGAGTGGCCCTGGTGTGAGGATGAGCACTCACTGGGGAGTGGAGCATCCTCAGGCCCAGTGGAGAAGTGAGGGTCACTCTGATCCATGAGAAGGTTGGAGTGTCCCCTCCTACAGGCCCATGGCACTGTACAGGTATTGTTCCTGGGGTAGCCAGATTCCAGGATCTCGGGGGTGTGGATATCAGGGGATTGTTTCAGAGCTTGGCAGGAGACAGAGACCCAAGCCCTGGTAGGGACCCCAAAGTGGTCTTCCCCAGGGCTGTCATCCCCACCATCTGCACCCCATGGTCTCCCACAGGATGAGGAGCAGAGGATCCCACCCCAGTCCTCCACGGGGGACCTCGGGTCCCCCCAGATGACCTCCTTCCTTCCCCATCACAAGCACAGAGAGATGGTTCTCTTTGTAACTGTACTTCACAGTGTACCCCTTCTCCACCTGAAGAGGTATGAACCACCCTGGCTCCTCTGTGTGTCCCCAGTGTCCCTGCTGCTCTGCAGGTCCTGAGTGGGTGGGATCTTCCCTGGGTCTCCTCCTATGCTCGGCCCACTGCGTTGTTCGTGGCTCCTGGAGAGTCCTGGTTTGTACCAGCCCCTGCACAAAACCAGTAGCCAGTGACAGAGGTCCTCCTTGAAGATGCCAGGCTAGGAGACCTGCAGGGCATGGGGACAGAGACCCCCCTGCACGTCCCCCACTCTCGCACCTCCAGCAGGTATCTGGGACCCTGAGCCAGGGATCCTTTGGAGAAAAGAGGGTGTTGGCTGTGCAGCCCCCACAGATTCTCTCCCTGCACCCCCCACTGGCCCCCAGCAGGGGCAGCAGGGTGGAGGTGGAGGTCCCGGGCTCTGCGAGTGGGCACAGAAGGGAGGGCGAGTGGAGGGGAAGCACACAGCAAGCCCAGGAAAGAGGTCAGACAGCCAACGACCGCAGAAGAGGAACCTCAGGACACCTGTCGAGGCCCCTGGAGCAGCCGCATCTACTATCCAGGTGGGGTCTCCACGGGGGCCACACCCAGCAAGGAGGACAGACCCGGAGCTCCTGGCCCCTGGTGGGCAGCCTCTCCTCCCCCGCCACTGTCCACGTCAGGAGGTAGGCACCGCCTGGCCATCGACAGGTTCTAGATGCTCTGCAGGGTCAGGAGGGGCAGGCGGAGGAGACGGGGTGTCACACGTGTGGGAGGGTGGGGTGAGTGAGGTGGCACTGAACGATGGGCCACACACGGGCATCTGCTCCTTGCTGGGAAGTGGGGGTGGGGGGGTGGCAGACTTCATCTCCGTCCTTGAGCAGTCCTCTAAGGTGTGAGGAGTGGGAAGCCCCAGATGTTCCAGCGCCTTCTGGGGTGTGGTGCAAGGGCTTGTGGGAAAGCCCCTCTCCCCGTGCAGCCAGAAGGCGACTTCTCAGGAACACACGGGTAGGGTGCATGGGCCCAGGGCAGGAGAGGGTCACGAGGCTCAGCCTGGGTTTCCTGACCACAGCCTCCCCTTCCCCAGGTGTCCCTGCGGTGACCATTCAGAGCCTGCCTGTGTAGTCAGGGTGGGGGAAGCCCTGGTTCTGGTGGCCCTGGGCCGTCCCCTTCAAGTCGGCTTCCTTGACTCCCACGGAGGGGTCACCACTCCCGACCTGAGGAAGGCGTGTGTCTGAGGGAGAATTCAGTGGGAGGATGGAGGCCAACTGCGCTCTGAAGACTCAGGGTTGGCTCTCCTGCCGTGTCCCAAGGCAGACCCCAAGAGGACACAAGTCACACTCCACCCTTTGATTCTCTGTCTCAGTCATGTTCTTATCCTGTCTGCTCTGGGGTCTCGGGAAACCCA